CATCCATAAGCGACACACTCAAGGGGGCAGACTCAGTGAGCACCAAAGCCCCACTGAAGCAAGTCCTGCCCCATAAGGGTGTCTCTAGCACAGAAGTTCTCCCATTGTAGACACAGCTGGTCCTCACAGCCAATTGGCCTGGTGGTCAATTCCTCCCAGTGATACTAACAGCAATCAAAGCTTAACTACAAGACTGTGCACACAGCCCACAAAGGGGTGCACCAAGAGTGTCCAGCTCAGGTAATTGGGGAGGCTGAGCCACTGGACCCTATAGGACACCTACAACACAAGGCCACTCTATCAACACAGGGAAGCAGCCAAAACTGCGGAGACAAAGAAACATGTCACAAACGAAAGAAATGGAGGAAAGTAAACTACTGGATATAGAGTTCAAAACCTCGGTTATAAGGTTACTCAAGAATCTTCTAGAAACCTCCGAGAAATTTAGTGAGATCCTCAAGGATATGAAAAAGAACCAACTAGAAATTAAGCATACACTGACTGAAATAAAGAATAATATACAGAGATCCAACAGCAGACGAGAGGATCCCAAGAATCAAGTCAAAGATTTGAAATATGAAGAAGCAAAAAACACCCAATGGGAAAAGCAAAAAGAAAAAAGAATCCAAAAATATGAAGATAGTGTAAGGAGCCTCTGGGACAACTTCAAGCATACCAACATCTGAATTACGGGGGTGCCAGAAGAAGAGAGAGAGCAAGATATTGAAAACCTATTTGAAGAAATAGTGACAGAAAACTTCCCCTACCTGGTGAAAGAAATAGACTTACATGTCCAGGAAGCGCAGAGAACCCCAAACAAAAGGAATCCAAAGAGGACCACACCAAGACATATCATAATTAAAATGCCAAGGGCAAAAGACAAAGAGAGAATCTTAAAAGCAGCAAGAGAAAAACAGTCAGTTACCTACAAGGGAGTACCCATACGATTGTCAGCTGATTTCTCAACAGAAACTCTGCAGGCCAGAAGGGAGTGGCAAGAAATATTCAAAGTGATGAATAGCAAGAGCCTACAACCAAGATTACTCTACCCAGCAAAGCTATCATTTAGAATTGAAGGTCAGATAAAGAGCTTCACAGACAAGAAGAAGCTAAAGGAGTTCATCACCACCAAACCAGTATTATATGAAATGCTGAAAGGTATTCTTTAAGAAGAGGAAGAAGAAAAAGGTAAAAATAAAAATTATGAACAACAAATACATATCTATCAACAAGTGAATCTAAAAATCAAGTGAATAAAAAATCTGACGAACAGAATAAACTGGTGAATATAATAGAATCAGGGGCATAGAAAGGGAGTGGACTGACTATTCTTGGGGGGGAAAAGGGTATGGGGGATGCGGGAAGAGACTGGACAAAAATCATGCACCTATGAATGAGGACAGTGGGGGGGGGGGGGGAACGGCAAAGGGTGGTGTGGGAACCGGGTGGAGGGGAGCTGGGGGGGGGGGGGGAAGAAGAAACAACTGTAATGATCTGAACATAAAGATTTTTTTTTTAAAACATTAACATCAAAATAAAAATTTAAAAATTTCCAAGCCCTGATTTAGACTTTGGGAATTATTCTGGGGGTAAAAAATTTCCTCCTG